TTTGTATTTGTCATTTAATGTTGTCACTATTATTATTAAAATCTAAATAAGTACTTAATCTGGAATAGGTTTACGCCATCAAGTGTCTCGATTGAAGACAGAGCTTTTAAGAAGATTTTTATCAGGTTATACAGTTTGTTTTGAGCCCGTTATATAGATTTAAAGAGAGAAGAGACGATACTTACCTTAATAACTTAACCAGACAATTATTAATTAAATATTCTGTCATTTTCAAATATTCAAATTTCATAACGAATTTTTACAGACTCCCATTGGCTATTTTAATTCGTTGTGATAAACTAAGCTAGCCAACGAGGATAGCGTGACAGACACACCGACAAAAACTTCAATTTAAACAAAAATCATTAATAAATAAATAAATAAATATTTTTCGTAGGAGAAGTTCGTTCAGCATCAGACATCGTACAGTTTTTTAAAGTTTTGCCATTTCTACCGGCTTTTCGATGGAGTAAATTAATATTTCTCTTATGTGAAGTACACGAGTATTATAAGAAATAGGAAATTTTAAAAGAAAGGTATTATTACGGAGTGAGAATACATAACATAGCATGCTAGTTTATCAGAACCGGCCAGTATCGGACAGGAACAAATTATATTTTATTAATTAAGAAAAAAAACTATATTAGTGGCCTTTGTTTTTCCTTTCCAGGCCTATGATGCCAACTTCAAATGATTTCTAGAAAATACTTGACTTTGAAATATTAGTTGATACAAGCAGGTTATTAATGAAAAGAAGTGAAAAGAGCGAAATTCTAACCTCAACCCCATGTAAGAAGAGATTAGAAGAAAATTCACAAATTTAAAGTAGAACAGGAAAAAATGAAGAATCAAGAAAAGGGAGACTGCAAATAAAAGGTGAAATCAAGTATAAAAATACAGGATTTTGAAAAGAAAAGGGTATAGTGCGTTTTACAGAAAGGAGTTAAATTTTAAGCTTGTACTGAATGTAGAGGGCAAGGGAATATAAACTTTTACACATGCGACCTGTTCATGTAGATTTTCTCTGTCCTAGGAATTTGGTGTTTTGTTACTTTATTACTTTGTTTTTTGTTTCTGAAAAAAATAAATAAAATTTAGTTTATTGACTTAAAAACATTCAGTACCGTCTTAAGAAGACTTTTTCATTTAAATTCCTTGATAGTCATTCGAATATTTAGCAGACACGTAACTTTTACTATCAGTCTGGCACTAGAAATCAATTTTTAAGGTGCCTGAATTTACGATGTTGTTACTTTAAATTTTAAAAATGCATACTGTTAAATTTTTGTAACTTTGTTTAACCTACTATTCAAATACATTTATGAGTACTGTATTACCTGATTGTATTAATTTTATGATTTACCTATCACTTTTCTACCAATTTTGAAATAACGTTAGGTGTCCGGTTCTGGACAAACTTCCCCTAATATTTTAGATCAGCAGGTCCCCAACTCGCACTTGCCATGGTGATATAGAAAAATAAAAACGTACGGGGTAAATATTACTCCACATCTCTAATTAAGGGTTTAATCACAATGATTCAGTGATGCTATTCGTTATACCTATATATTTTCCAGCACTACATAATTTTACTGATCACGATTTCTATAATGTCAGGGAAAAATTATTATGACTTTTTGTATAAAGGAAGTCGACACGATTTTCTAGAAAGATCCATTATACCTATCGATAGAAAGGTATAATGTATGATATGAGAAAACATATGTATGAGAAAACAACAGTAACGTGACAGATCCAGGAGGAAAGTTTTATGGTCATGCAGATGGCTCTCTCAGGCACAAGTGGATTGGGCTTCAACTTCTTGCAACTTGGCTTTACGAGAGATAATTGCAAAAATGGGCACTTAAGCTCAAGCATTGGTTACGAGTCAAACTCAAGTTAACATTTTTTGAATTTTCGGGAAATTTCCTCTCCTTTGGATGCCGGAGTCAACCCTCCTGCATAGACCCTGATACGAGTCGATGAAGGTATTGTGTTGCAAAGTCGAAGTTTTAGAGAATTGATGTTTAAATTTTTATGTAAATTATTAATTTTTCTTAATTTTAATAATACTAATAATGTAATGTTTCTCAGTGTAAATTATCAACAAAATTGGATGTCGCAGTAGACATTAGTGTCGTTAAATTTCTGAGATCTTTGATGATGGTATGTGAGAGAGAGATACGTTACATCTTCATCCATACAGGACAGTCTGGATTTGAAAAATTGCAACATAACCATTTCATCCATTCGTATCTTTAATTATTATTATTATTTAAAAAGAAAATTCTGCTTGAGTTTTATATTATAACATCATTCACAAATATTCGTCATTCAAATGTTCAAAAAATAACATCATAGATATAACAAATATACATTTGTTATTATCTATGGAAGATATTTTATTTAAGGAAAAAAATATGCCGTAAAATTGTTTCGCTTTCAAATTTGCCGTAATTATGCTGTCACTAGGCATTCAAAATGGGAACAGACACCAAAATTTATCAAATCTCGAGTAGTAACTTTATCGAATTTTATCAGTAGATAAAACCGTTAAAAATTGGAAATACCTTATTTATTTCCGCGCTTTTCTGAGAAATATCAACAGGGAATTATTTGTTAAAATTAATTTAGGCATTATCTTTAATGTAACAAAGTTTCCTTTTCTTATCATAATATCTTGTTATGATTATTTCAATTTTAAATTGTAAACAATTTCCTGAAAATAAATATTTTAATTTAATTCTTTTTAATTAAAAGTAATACAACTACAGAAATTCGTAATTTAGTTCTAAAATGTATCTAAATAAATATTTATACTGGACTTACAGTACAGTACATTAAGTGTTATTCTAATTGTTTCTAACGGTATACATTTATACCGTTAGAAACAATTAGAATAACACTTCTCAGCAGAAAATAATAACTTAATCAACACCTAATCACTCGCTGAGAGATTTATTATTAAAACAAACGTTTTCAATCCAATCAATGGATCATCATCAGCTAAATGGAACACTTCAAAAATAAAACAACAAGTTCAAAATACAAAATATAAATATTAATAACCGATAACATATATGCTATTAATAGCCAAATAATGTTTGGCTATTAATAGCATATATAAATAATAAAAATTAATACAAATGCTGATAATACTAAAAATAAAATAATCAAAAATAACAAACAAATTGTGAATACTAAATATTGATATTGCTTACTTAACTATACAGAGTTTTTACTACAATTATTAAAGTTCCTGCTCTTATTTTAAGTTTTTAATTGCAAACTTCCAGCGGAAGGAAGTCCCTCTGCATCTCTTGCGTTGATGCAATTTCCTTTAAGTTTGCTTCTATAAATTTCTAACTTATCAGCCATTCTTGCCAAAGTCTGAGAGTATATCTGTTTCAGGATTTCTGCTTCATCCCATCATACTATTGNGACTTACAGTACAGTACAGTACATTAAGTGTTATTCTAATTGTTTCTAACGGTATACATTTATAAACAACCGAAACGTACTCAGCAGAAAATAATAACTTAATCAACACCTAATCACTCGCTGAGAGATTTATTATTAAAACAAACGTTTTCAATCCAATCAATGAATCATCATCAGGCTAAATGGAACACTTCAAAATAGAACAAGTTCAAAATACAAAATATGTAATTTGTATTTTGAATTTGTATTTTGAACTTGAAAATAGAACAACAAGTTCAAAATACAAAATGAACTTGTTCTATTGAACTTGTTCTAAATGAACTTGTTCTAAATGAATCTCTCAGCGAGTGATTAGGTGTTGATTAAGGTATACATTTATTCAATAAAATATAATAATCAGTTTAGAAAAAAACAATGAAATTTAATAATATATGAAATTAAATCCAATTGCTATTAATTCTCATTTAATAAAATATTAAAGAGGATATATACAGAAACANGTTAATATGGATTAACACATTGTTAAAATTGCTAAATTATAACAAAATAAAAACTAACGAGCAATTATTTATTGTGACATCGTCACAATGCCGGTTGTAATTTTTAATCATATTTTTAATTTATTTCGTTTAAAATATATGCTCTTTACCTCAAATTAATAGTGTGTTGACCCTGCACATCACACTTTTCCTTTAACAAAAGAGTCATACCGAACATCTACCTAACTCCTTTCAGGGGAAAATATTTGAATTGAAATGATGTGACATTCGGTTTGTAGCAGAGATTTTCATATAGTTAGTCAGAGCCTTTCTTCCCTCTACTTTCTGTAACTAGTTCTGTTTTCATTTATCTAACTCCGTTCTCGAGATTAAGAAAGGACAGACAGACAGACTAACAGTGGGAATTTATAGGCCTATAATTTTTTCAAATTGTAACTCAATAGTAGTTTTTATTTACATAAATTTTGTTAAGAAACAGCAACTCACACAAATACTTATAATTTAATAATCTTACATTCATATTTCTTACAAATTTCTTGTATACAATTAAAATTTTTCCGTAAATACTTTCTTTTTATAGCTATTATAATTTACATATATATTTAAAACCATAATAACGTACATTTTCAAAAATTTCTTTTAAACATAGGATAAAAAACAACGGTTGTAAGTTATGTTGAATTTAATTGAGTACTTTTTGATAGCACTTCATTTAAAACATTTCTATATTTAAAAGCACGTAAGTAAAAGTGTCTTTTCTCAGCAATAATAAAATAAAATAATTACAAAAGGTAAAAAAAAAAAAAGACAACCGTGAAGACGACAGGAAAAAATAAATTTCTAGTTCTCCTGTTTCTCAATAACTGTTAAAGATTTGATTTCATTTATTTTGAAAGTCTGAAAATTGCAGCTTTTATCATAACAAAAGCGGACTAATAATAATAAAAAAAAAAAAAAAAAGATAAGCGCAATCACAAAATTCCAACTAAAAAGTCTAGGAAGTGGTTTCGATATTATACGAGCGCTTTGATTGGTTGTTTGTTTTATGTCTTCAATATAAATACATCAACAGGTGTTAGATATATAAACTTATCATTATAATTCTCCATTTTCTTACTTTAGTAAATTCGTTATAGAATTATTTAAAATGAGAACTTCTAAACTGAATTCTGCTTGTAAACTTTTGGTAAGAGATTTTCTAAAAAGTAATTTTATTTATTTAATACTTTAAGTTAATAATAAAAATTAATGAATTTTAATTAAATAACTTCTTTTAAGTTATAATATTAGAAATTTTCTGTATAACCTCTTATCAACGACCACTGATGGGTACATAAAAAAAAAAAACAGTCGTTGATAGGAGTAGCGTTATTTGGAAGTTATTTTATATGCATTTTTGTTTAATGTTTTTTTTTTAAATTGTCCGCCGTTGAGAGGTGTTCGTTATTGGAGGTTCAATTGTATACATCATTATGTTAGTGATTAATTTGGTAAAATGTATTATTTATGATAATAGTAGAGCTCTCAACTGTCCGTGCAAAACACGGACGGACAGTCCGCTTTTGAAAGGAACAGCTAGAGAAATTTCGTTCGTTAGCAGTGGAAGATGAATTTATTGTTGAAAAACCATTATAAAGAATTTCTAAATATGTTTTGTGCTATTTTCTACACTCTCAAATATTTTTTTTTGTTTTTTTTTTCTGTCAATTGTCAGCATATGTAGTTCTTAATTCCTCGACCAGTGACATATTTACGTTAGTTTTTGTTTTACAATCATATCCGTTCTGATAACATTTTGTTCGGAAATATTTGTATCTTTATTAGCCTCATTATTAATGTTTTTCGACTAGATGTACTGTACTGTACATCTAATTTTAGAACATAGCTTTACTTTAACATATTATCTACATCTCGATTATTTTTAGATAGGTTTCCCGTTTCTAAAATTTTCATTGGAGATAAGATTATTAATTTTTTATACTTTCGTTCAAAAAGAGTATTTTTGAATTATTCTACCATTTTTAAACTTCAAAAATAATTAATTTTTTTAACTATTGTGAATATAAATTTTAAAATATCTTTTGAAATTATCAACGTAATCGTTTCTTTGCTGTTATACTAAACTAACTCTTTATGTTTTAAAGTTAATCTAATTATAATTTATCATTTTGAAATCACTCTCATTATATAAATCATTTTGTGCAATATCATTAGAAGCTCTTTCAATCCAATTTTTAACATCAGTCAATTAGTTACTGTAAGTAATGAAATGCATTTAGTTTTGACGTTCGATTATAAAGACAATTCCTTTCTTTTTTCTTGTATTAAATATTTTTGAAGAATTCAAAACTTTCTGAATTTTTACAAATGCTCGAGAACGTGCTACTTTTACATTTAAATATTCTATTAACTCTAAATTATAATATGAATGATTCGAAATATCTGAAGTAAATTTAAACTAAATGTATAATAAAACCATAGTTTCTGATAATATCATATATTCAATTAAATTATTCTTTATAGGCACGTGTGAATTATATTTGCATAAAATTTCAAAATGTATTAACAAATTATACTTAAATTAGAAGTAAAAGAAATAAGTCAATTCTTATTTTTGTCAAATGTAATATTTTTTACATTGGATATAGTTTAATAATAACTTTAGTTTGATAGAAAGGAAGTTTATTAAATTAAACGTTCCGTTACTGGTTTTGTTGTGGATTTCAAAAAATTAAAAGCTATTGGCTTTTCTTAATAATACATCATACAAATAGCAGTTGTTGATATAGGTTTTACTGGAGGAAATGCATTTCGAGTTTTTATAACCCCTCTTCAGTCATTACACTTTACAAAAGAAAGACAGATAAGAATTGCATCACACAAAACAATACATATAACATTAAAAAAACTTTTTGAACTTAAATGGTTGATTATTGGTTACAAATTGATATTAAAAAAAATATTGGTAAATTGACTGAGTAGACTCTGTTTACAAGGGTTGCAGTATGAAATAAAATAAAGCAGTTATAAAGTAAATAAAGTTTAAGACGGTTAGGTTATAAAATGGTATAGATTGTTATTACCTGTAGATGAATAGAAAATATGAGTTGGGTGATGTTTAGTTTATATTTACTTCAAATTTTTTAAAATTATATTCTAAAAATGTCTATCTGAACATGAAAACTGAATTCTGCTTGTAAACTTTTGGTAAGAGATTTTCTAAAAAGTAATTTTATTTATTTAATACTTTAAGTTAATAACAAATATTAACGAATTTTAATTACATAACTTCTTTTAACTTATAATATTAGAAATTTTCTGTATGATATTTAGAGTCAAACCTTCCAATAAACCCTGCACCTGAGACTGACTAGTGCAATGAATTAATAATCATTAATTAACTTATTATACACGGATTTGAATGGGGTAAAATTTAGTTTCCTTCTATTAAACGTTGTCTATGACTTCAGCAAATTTCGTAATTCTATATGGAATAGAAATTTTTGTTTTGAACCGTTTTTCTAGTCTTTTCATATATAATTAGTACAAATGACGAAACTCTCGAGATATATTTGAGTTTTGGGGTAACTAATACACAGCCTGCTAAAACCGCAACTTCTTTTGAGATAAAAAAATTTTACAAATTTAGTATTTCTAAAGCTATATTTTATAATTAAAAGCATCTATTTAAAATTATTTTATATATTTGTAGTAGTTTTGCTATAGAAACACGTCTTATGGTGTGATTTAGGCGAAAATTTTTATGTTCTAATTTTTGTTTTAATATTGGATTTACTTTTATTTCTACGTGAATATTAATTATCAAGAATAAAACATAAGGGCGTTAAGGTGCTCACGTCAACAGCCACTGACGGGTACATAAAAGAAGATAGGAGTAGCGTTATTTGGAGGTTATTTTTTACGTATGAATTAAACATTGTTCGCCTTTAATAGGTGTCCGTTATTGACGGTTCAATTGTATACATCATTATGTTATTGATTAATTTTCTAAAATGTATTATTTGTGATAATACCGTAGCTCTCAACAGTCAGTTCAAACACCGACAGGACGGTCCGTTTTTGACAGTTTCTATCTTCTTGTCCGCTGTGACCGCTATTTTGCCGATGATTCCAATATCCATTTTCTTACAGTTATTACTTTTTGGATAAATTTTTTCATATACATAAATCCTCTAATCCTTTCTTTCTTGTTGTTGTTGTTGATCCTCGAGATTCTTCAATCGAGGGTTGTATATACTTTTTCTTTGGCAGTCAAATAAAGCAAAAGATAAAATATACACGATAGTTTTTAAGATTTTTTTAAGCAGATGAAAAATGTTTATGAAAAACTATTTTCGCAACTACATAAGAAGTATTGGTGAACATTTTTGAGCTTTTGAGGGGGCAAATTTCAGCTATTTTAGCAATGATATCAGCTCTTTTCAAAAGTTTCGTGGCGCCATATGTTATCATATTTCATTAAAAAAAAGTTTTTATATTTTTAAGTATTATAAAATTGCAAAAAGCCTAATTTTCAGTGTAGAGACGAGTTTTATAAAAATTTGTAAAGGCTGTAACGAGTAAAATGCCAATACTACTCGTGATACGACACACGACTCCCTTTATCTCCCTACCCCATCGACCTTTAACCACCGAAATTTAGCAGCATCAATCTCTTTAAGAATCAAATTTTTCTGTAAACTTTAGAAAATTTCGACAAAAGGCACAGAAGTTATTAAGCTTCAAACAGGGTGAACAAAATCGTGTCCCCCGGACACACACTAACATCCATACATACAGAATAAACCCTCGAATTCTTTTGTATTTCTCGATGTTTTTAGGTGTTCTAAGTCCAAAAATGTCGAAATCTTGCGGTTCATATATTGACCGATCGTCATAATTTCCCTCTGTTATATAACAGCCGGGAAAGTAAAAATAATAATGATAAATAATATAAATGCAGTATTTATTAATTAAATTATGATAATTAAGTCATTTTTCGATTAACGTTCGTGCTTTTAGTCAAAATATGATTCAACATGAGAAATTTCTCATTAATTTTAAATAATAAATATAATTTCCTTACAGATTGCGCTGAAAAATTATTATCCTGAATATATGCTATAGTTTCAACTCTTTCTTGCCCATAATCTTTCCGAATTGTTACATAGTTTAATTTAGACTCATAGAAGCTCATTCTCTATTTGTACTCTTACAATTTTTAGTTTATTTTTCATTTTAGTTTCACGTAACTATATTTCAAACCACATAAGTTTCTTTTCTCTACTATAATAAAATTAAATAATTACAAAAAGTAAAAAAAAACAACCGCGAAGACGACAGGAAAAAATAAATTTCTAGTTCTCCTATTTCTATATAACTGTTAAAGATTTGTTTTCATTTATTTTGAAAGTCTGGAAATTGTAACTTTTTTTCATAACACAAGCGGAACAATAACAAAAAAAAAAAAAGGATAAGTGTAATCACAAAATTCCAACTAAAAACTCTAGGAAGTGGTTTCGATATTATACGAGCGCTCTGATTGGTTGTTTGTTTTATGTCTTCAATACAAATACATTGACGGATGTCAGATACATACAGTTATCATTATAATTCTCCATTTTTTTTACTTTAGTAAATTCATTATAAAATTATTTGAAATGAGAATTTCCAAACTGAATTCTGCTTGTAAACTTTTGGTAAGAGATTTTCTAAAAAGTAATTTTATTTATTTAATACTTTAAGTTAATAACAAATATTAACGAATTTTAATTACATAACTTCTTTTAACTTATAATATTAGAAATTTTCTGTATGATATTTAGAGTCAAACCTTCCAATAAACCCTGCACCTGAGACTGACTAGTGCAATGAATTAATAATCATTAATTAACTTATTATACACGGATTTGAATGGGGTAAAATTTAGTTTCCTTCTATTAAACGTTGTCTATGACTTCAGCAAATTTCGTAATTCTATATGGAATAGAAATTTTTGTTTTGAACCGTTTTTCTAGTCTTTTCATATATAATTAGTACAAATGACGAAACTCTCGAGATATATTTGAGTTTTGGGGTAACTAATACACAGCCTGCTAAAACCGCAACTTCTTTTGAGATAAAAAAATTTTACAAATTTAGTATTTCTAAAGCTATATTTTATAATTAAAAGCATCTATTTAAAATTATTTTATATATTTGTAGTAGTTTTGCTATAGAAACACGTCTTATGGTGTGATTTAGGCGAAAATTTTTATGTTCTAATTTTTGTTTTAATATTGGATTTACTTTTATTTCTACGTGAATATTAATTATCAAGAATAAAACATAAGGGCGTTAAGGTGCTCACGTCAACAGCCACTGACGGGTACATAAAAGAAGATAGGAGTAGCGTTATTTGGAGGTTATTTTTTACGTATGAATTAAACATTGTTCGCCTTTAATAGGTGTCCGTTATTGACGGTTCAATTGTATACATCATTATGTTATTGATTAATTTTCTAAAATGTATTATTTGTGATAATACCGTAGCTCTCAACAGTCAGTTCAAACACCGACAGGACGGTCCGTTTTTGACAGTTTCTATCTTCTTGTCCGCTGTGACCGCTATTTTGCCGATGATTCCAATATCCATTTTCTTACAGTTATTACTTTTTGGATAAATTTTTTCATATACATAAATCCTCTAATCCTTTCTTTCTTGTTGTTGTTGTTGATCCTCGAGATTCTTCAATCGAGGGTTGTATATACTTTTTCTTTGGCAGTCAAATAAAGCAAAAGATAAAATATACACGATAGTTTTTAAGATTTTTTTAAGCAGATGAAAAATGTTTATGAAAAACTATTTTCGCAACTACATAAGAAGTATTGGTGAACATTTTTGAGCTTTTGAGGGGGCAAATTTCAGCTATTTTAGCAATGACATCAGCTCTTTTCAAAAGTTTCGTGGCGCCATATGTTATCATATTTCATTAAAAAAAAGTTTTTATATTTTTAAGTATTATAAAATTGCAAAAAGCCTAATTTTCAGTGTAGAGACGAGTTTTATAAAAATTTGTAAAGGCTGTAACGAGTAAAATGCCAATACTACTCGTGATACGACACACGACTCCCTTTATCTCCCTACCCCATCGACCTTTAACCACCGAAATTTAGCAGCATCAATCTCTTTAAGAATCAAATTTTTCTGTAAACTTTAGAAAATTTCGACAAAAGGCACAGAAGTTATTAAGCTTCAAACAGGGTGAACAAAATCGTGTCCCCCGGACACACACTAACATCCATACATACAGAATAAACCCTCGAATTCTTTTGTATTTCTCGATGTTTTTAGGTGTTCTAAGTCCAAAAATGTCGAAATCTTGCGGTTCATATATTGACCGATCGTCATAATTTCCCTCTGTTATATAACAGCCGGGAAAGTAAAAATAATAATGATAAATAATATAAATGCAGTATTTATTAATTAAATTATGATAATTAAGTCATTTTTCGATTAACGTTCGTGCTTTTAGTCAAAATATGATTCAACATGAGAAATTTCTCATTAATTTTAAATAATAAATATAATTTCCTTACAGATTGCGCTGAAAAATTATTATCCTGAATATATGCTATAGTTTCAACTCTTTCTTGCCCATAATCTTTCCGAATTGTTACATAGTTTAATTTAGACTCATAGAAGCTCATTCTCTATTTGTACTCTTACAATTTTTAGTTTATTTTTCATTTTAGTTTCACGTAATGATTCTCCTGAAATATAATAATATCACTTGGAATAGTACCAAGGTTTCTTAAATTTATATTGAAAATAGATTATTTTTCTTCATATTTAAAATGTAAAAATAAAATATATATATATATTATATTAAGATGACATTTAACCAGGGTTGGCATGATTTAAAAAGATGTTTTAAAACATTTAAAACATGTGTTTTTGGAAATAAAACTCTTGATATAGTAAAATTGAAAAAAGCAGAAAAACTTCAGCCTAAGACTCAAGAATGTGCAGAATGTTTTATTTAATATAAAATATAGCATTTTTAAATGTTTCTTTATGGAATGGCATTTTTAAAATTCACATGTACAAATAACAAAACAGGATTGACAGCCGTAGTTTCTTCAGCTTGGAGAATTTCTTTTTTTCAGAAATGTACAATTCTCATTAGTATTTGTTTAGGTGCTTCAAAACTTTAACAAACTTTGCTGCCTTTTCCTGTCCAAGACAATTTCTAAGTTTTGAATGATCAAGCCCATAGAAAAAATTCTTATTTTACAGCCATACTTTTGATTGCATTTTTTATTGCTACAGTTGCAATAATTTCTAAGTAGTTTGTGTGGATTTCTGCGCCTGTATCAACTGAGTCATTCGAATGAACTGTTCCATTAGGATTAGTCACACACACAAAATCACTGGTTTATAATGGACATTACTCCACCCATCAATAGCCATACAGACTGTAATAGCCTTTAACTCGTCACCTGGTTCATTGTCAATGGAATTGTATACAGTGTCCTGCAAGAATCCCCCAACTTCTTTTTTGTGTGGAAGGTCATATCCATGTCGCAACATCTGAAAAATTTTTATAAATTTAGTGTTCTACATGAGTAAAGGCTGAATTGGTGGCATATATAAATTTTGCGCATTGGAAAACCAATTGCGTTTTTTGATTAGTTGACATTTTCACAATAAAGGAATCAATGCGTTGCAAAGTCACTTTGTTTTGTGATACAGTGCCAGTGCCACTAGTGGAGCCAGAACTGGTGGAGGAGCTCTTCCCACTGGTCTCAGACTCAGGCTCCTGACTTGCTGACTCCAGCCAATCTAGAAAATAAATATAGAAACAATAAATTAATTATTAATTAGGTGTAAATTTTTAATATTACTACTATATATAGACGTGTGAAAATTATTAGACTCAAGTCAGACCAGTGCAATATAAAATGATACAGTTTAGGATAAGAAACACTTTATGCTTGAGTCTAATAATTTACACACTTCTGCATGTTCACAGTTCACAATGATTACGATATGTAATTGTATACTATACAAATTGAGTTATGTAAAACTTTACAGCAAGCTATAGAAAATTTTAAAAATTACAATGGTTCAAAATACTCACCCAGCTGTTGCAATTTCTGTATACCATCCTGTAGGTGGTTACCTTCAATATGTTCTTCCATACGAGTTACTAATCCAATAATTTCTTTCGTACATATTTTGCATTGCATCCTGCATACCGGTTTTCCTGGATTTCCGGAAATTAGTTTGTACTTATTCCAGATATTATCAAGCCTTCTTCCTGCACACATTTTTCACTTAACAAGTAACAACTATAATAATAATAATGTTTTTTCCATTCAAGTAATATTAGAATACGTTAGCTGTATTGCTAACATAATAAACTGGCTGTCAGGAAGTGTTAAAAGTTGCATGTCACGTGCTTTCATGACCCATGAGAGTGAGAAAAATCCCCCATTTCCCATTTTCCACGTTTCACTCACAAGTCATAAAATTTTATTTAATAAATTTATGTAATAAAACGTTTTTTTTTTAAATTAAAACATTGTTTTAAAACAGTATTTTACAATTAATATAAAATTGTTTTAAAACAAAAAAACAAAGGTATCTAAATAAAACGCGTATTATTGTTTTATTTAAAGAAAAAAACAAATTTTCAAACCCTGAATTTAACCAAAGATAACGATATTAAGTACAGTAATACCTCCACTTACGCTACCCCGACTTACGCGAACCCGGAGTTACGCGATTTTCAAATCTCGTCGATTAGTCTTTTGTTTGAGCGCCACGCAACTCTTGATTACTCATTTCCCGACACTATTGTTCATCTTACATGTTCGGACGTGTCGCGCGGAATCGACATATAACTACAATTAATTTTGTGTTATTTATTTCTGTGTTTGTTATATCTGCGGAGACTCGAGAGACTCTACTATGTCATCCAAACGAAGTAGAACTGATTCTTCTGCATCAAACAAGAAAAGAAAAACTTTTATGGAATTTACTGGAATGTAAAGTTAACATTGGGTATGTTCGTAAAGTCGAACGAGTTAAACGAGAATGACGTCATCGTTATTCTTATTTCGTTAGACTTTTCGAACGATTCGTTACTAACG